AAAAAAATACAACAGATTTATTCTTCCGTTTATTGCAACAAAAATAGGCAGTTTATAAAACATATATTAGTAACTATACGTTAAGTATTCCTCTCTCAAATTAATAGTACAAAGATACATATAAGATAATTTAAGTAGGAACTCAATAATGCCAGAAAGTATGATACATATTATTCAATCATGACGTAAATTGTTATAGTAGGCGTGGTAATCTTCAGGAAGTAATCGTTTGAAATACTGGTGATCTCATACTTTCTGTGAGCAATCGTACGCCTACTCTCGTATAAATTCGGAAGGTGAGAAAACGGCAAGGAAACAGCTACTGGGGATTTTCTTTGCGGTATTATTTCCCACTCGTTGGAGAATCTTAGTTTGAAATGTATGTCGCCACTTGGTGTATACCGTAGGGCTCGTATATCAGTTACTTAAGCAGCATCTTTGCCGCGACCGGGACGAATGCTATTAAAGAATTGAACTGCGTTAAAGCTTTTAAAGAACGTGTTACGAAGATAAGTTACGTCATATGGTTTTGGATTTTTTCTAGCTGATCTAATTACTTCAATGTATTCTGCAGGAACATGGATATCTCTTTTCTTAAGTGCTCGTTCGATAGTGGAATGGATACAATCAGCTTCCATTTAGGTATGGCCTACTTCAAGAAACTTTTGGACAATAATGATATTGTTATTTATAGCTGTGGATAACAAAGCATTAGCCATAATATTGTTTCGGTTTTGATATGTGCATTCGTCGCTATAAAAAATTGTAATTGGCTCCCCGGAACTATTATTTGGTACTACATTTTTTTCTATCAAATCTACCCACACGCTGGAAAACTCTTCTGCATTTAACTTCCTTCTGTTTCGTTCCACAATTAACAATAATTTCCTTGAGATATAAAAAATTAAAGCTTATTCGCTGGCTATTACCTTGGCTTAAACGCATAAAGTAATACTCTAAGATAAAACAATAATCGAGCGACAGAAGCACAATATGTTGGATTTAGCAGTTGAATTTGAACTGATTGTACATAGCAGCTTTACTCATCACACAATTTTTGACAATTATATTTTTATATTGACGTATTTTTTTGCTTGCCAACTGCGGAATCGCCTACGCCTTCGAACTGCATCAAAAGGTCAATTTTGCCAAAAAACGGATTTAGCAGGTTTACACAATAAGCCGACGAAATATATTTTATACCAAAATAAATTCCAAAGACTAATAAACTTAAACTCTCTTAAACATTTGATACTCCCACTAAGCTCTCATCCTCTGACGAATCGTTGAACCAGACCTCGTTGTACTCATTTTACCACGTTGTTATAAACTCGCTTTCTTTTTTATTTCATTTTAATTAGAACAAATTTACATAAATATGTATAAGCACGCTATTTAGTTTGCTCGATTTGTAAACAAAGCTTCTCAGCGGTGAAAAATATACTATTGTGAACAACCTAAACGAGCGAAATTCACAATAGCGCTATTCTTCATCGAATCGAATCGAGCCATAATACCAAATAAAAATTCGTTCGCTCAGCACTTTCGACCACAGTCGAAAATCGAATGCAACTCATAATAGGGGCCAGTAATATTTCTTTTCCAAAATTCTTTGAAA